TCCCCAAACAAGCCTTTAGTCCTGAAGCTCTCAAACAGCAGGCTACAGCTGCCCCCAAGTCTGAGTCCAGCTCCTTCCATCCACAGTCCTGGCTGACCAAGACAGCTGGATCTCTAGCTCCACCGTGTGCTGGTTTTATGTAGGGCTAACCAGGATCCATATTCCCCACTGGTCTCTCTTCCCCTTAGGAACACGGGATTGAGTGGTCACTGCACTTGACTGTTTGCATACTTTGCCACCTAATTCAGTCATCAGCCTAAATTCAGGCATCTGGACTCCAGATTCTATGTCTGGGGAAGAGTTAGGAACCTCAGACTGGTATCCACGCAAGCAGCACAGCATACTGGTGGAGGGCCATCCAAGTACAATATAGCATGCTGAAAAGAGGCCCAGGGCCTTAGCCCCAACTCTAAAAAGTACTATGCTTTCTCACATTTGACACACCTGACATACCTGAACATAATACACACTTTGTTTTTGAAAGGCAGAATGAAGAAAAAATGTTTTTTCTAGATTTATAGCTAAATGGAGCAGGGACAGAGTCTAATCTTCAGCTCACTCACTCTCCCTTTCCTACTTAACCAAAATTGAAACCCTAGCTGCTCCTGAAAACTGGTTTCCATGAGTGGATCTATAATTTTGAAAAGAGCTATTGAGTCTCCAAGGCTGTGAAATAGGAGCAGAGAGATCAAAGCAACCAGTAGACAGCAAAATTGCTCTAAGGAAGGTAGAAAAGACAACTGTTAACATCTCTGGAACAAACAAGGAACCTTTAAGTTCACTGATTCCCTCAACTGCCTGAATAGCAATGCAACAGCTGGCTCCACTGTGAAGCCAGAATCAAAGCTGGATGCCTCTATCCCAGGCAGAAAATCAGATTCCCTACCTTATACGCGACCCCAATTTGGGGTTAAAAGGAAAGAAAAGTAGGACTGGAAGGGACTTCATAAGGTCATCCAGTCCAGGCCCCCTGCTTAAGACAGGAGCATCCCTGACTAAACTACCTCAGCCAAGTCTCTGTCTAACCTGCTTTTGAAAGTTTCCAAGGATGGAGATTCTACAACTTCTCTAGGTAACCTGCTCCAATGCTTGACCACCCTCCTAGATGGAAAGTTCTTCTTAATCCCCAACCTAAATTCCCTTTACTGCAGCTTGAGGCCATTACTCCTAGCCCTGTCCCCTACAGCAACAGCGAAAAATCCATCTCTATCCTTTCTATAATTGTCCTTCAGGTATTTGAAAAATGTTATCAAATCCCCTCTTAGTCTTACTCTTCTCTAAGATAAACACTAGCCTTTTCTCAGAAGTCTTATCTCACAGGCCCCTGATCATTTTTGTAGCCTTGCACTGGACTCCTTTCAAACTATCCACATCTTTCTTGAAGTGTGAAGCCCAAAACTGAACACAGTACTCCAGGTGAGGCCTCACCAGTGCAGAATCACTGCCCTCAGTGTGTAAGTGACACTCATGTTACAACCCAAGATCCGGTTGGCTTTTTTGCAACAAGAACACGCTGTTGGCTCACATTCAGTTTATGGTCCACTGTAAGCCTCAGGTCCTTCTCTGCAGTACCGCAGTCTAGCCAGTCCTTTCCCAGTCTGCATACAATTATTCTGTCTGAAGAGCAGGACTTTGCACTTACCCTTGTTGGATCTCATCTTACTGATCATAGACCATTTCTCCAGTCCATCCAGGTCATTCTGGATCTTAGCCCTGCCCTCCTGAGTGTCCATAATTCCACCCAGTTTAGTGTCATCTGCACATTTGCTAAGGATGCACTCAAGCCCATCATCCAAATGATGAATAAAGACACTGACCAATATCAGACTCAGGACAGACCCCAGGGAAATCCCACTTGATACCTCACCCAACTAGACATTGAGCTACGGAGGACTACTGACAAAGAACAATGATTCAACCAGTTATGCATCTACCTTACAGTACTTTTTTCTAGTCTGTACTTATTCAGCTTAATAAGAATGTTGTATGTGAGAACATACAGTATTTAAATACCTAACTCTAGCCCTGAGGGAGGCCCCTGTTTCTGCTTGGGACACTCAGCCATGAAGCTTCTCCTGGGCCTTGTCATTCCACACCCTTGAAAACTAACTTATACTCCATTGTATCCAGTGGTTAAGGTACTTACCTGGAAGTGGAGGGAACCTGTTTTCAGATCTCCACTCTACATGGTTTGGAGAGTACCCTAAAAATCAGGCTACAGGCTATTAGGGTACTACTCTCTTTTGTAAAAGTTGCTGACCTATGCACGTGCAGGACCATACTGGGGGGGTGGGGGGGGGTGGCGGAGCAGGCAAATTGAGGCAACTGCCCCAGGCCCTGCGCTTTAGAGGGCCCCATGGAGCCGAGTTGTCTTTGCATCCAGCCACTCGCCACCCCCACTGTATCCAGGCCCTGCACCCTGCTACAGTCGTCTCTGTGCACATGTAACTAACCAGAGATGAAACTCAAACCTCATTATCTTACATTGCCTGTGAGATCTCCTAGTCAAGTGCTCTAACCACGGGGTTTCTTGATATTCTGTAGTAGTGGTAGCACATCTTGTTGTTTTTCCACAAGATCAAGGCGTCCAGGAGAGGGTCTGTGTGTGGCTGCAGATCCAAGAAGAATTAGGCATTAACCCCCTCTCAGGAATAGACCTCACTTCTCATTAGCATTTCCAACCAGGTGGCATAGACAGTCCATCCAGCTGGTTGCTGCAAGTCCCATTCCTACAAATGTGCCTTTCTTCTAACATTGTATAAAGGAAGCTTGATGCCTAACTCACGGCAGTGAATTTCACTGGGTGGCAAGTGATTAACATTACAACACTTTGGGTGTTTGCAGACATCCCCCTCCCCCCACAAATAAATAATAAAAAAAACCCAATGGTGCTTTAAACTCAGTGCATTCTTGTGCCAAGTCCAGCTCAGGCTCAGAAGAGGCAGCACGTTACTTCAAACCAGCTCACCCAACGTATGTAAAGATCAGCCATTTTAGCAGAGCTTTTTAAGCACTTTTATCTAATAATCGATTGTATCAGCTTTAGCAAAAAGTGCCAAAAATTCCTGCTGAGGCACCTGATTTTTACAGATACTGCAGAGCCAGGTCAAAGACTGCTCCTTCCAGTCAAATGTTTGTTTTTTTCTGCAAGCAGCCCCCATGCTCTTCAAGATCCATTACTCACTAAGTCTAGAGAACAAGCAGTCTGACAGAAGCCAGTGGTTAAGAGCAGAGGAGCACTTTAGGAATTGCAATGGCCAGTGAAGTTCTTCTGGGGATTATGGCCTGGAGCATACGGCCCTCATGTAACCAGCCCGTTCTTGGTCAGTTTCCCAAGGGGCCCAGTGGATTTGGTACGAGTGGTACTACCAGCTGTTAAGTGGTCCCAAATATGTAATCATATACCTAGATCAGGGATTTGTTCCTTCTTGAGTGGCAGGGGAAGAACTCAGCCGAGAGATGGGAAAGAAAGAGAGAGGAAACAAGAGGGAATACACAAAGGCCCAATTAGTTAGGTGGCTGAATTCAGCTCCTTTAATCTTTACTACACAATTCCATGCAGGTTTGTGCTCTCTGTTCATATTCTTTATAGATTTTCTACCAGTCTCCTCAATATCAGAAAGAAACCAGCAGGCCACATGGAAACAGTGACAGTCTCATAAAACAAATGACAATACTAATCAGTCTGGGACAGGATGGTGGGAGTCAGAATTTGAACTCCTTATAGGGGCAAATTGGGACACAAAGTCCAAAACATTCAACTTCCAGCTGATGAGGAGGGTACAGCAAGGATAGCACAATCTCACTGTAGATGTAGCATTACCAGCATCCTGCGCCACAGGCTAGTTTGCAGCACTTAACAGTATAATGGCCAGATGGGCCTCTCACCCTCACCTACAGAAACTCAGAACCTTTTTTAATCCACTAAAACTATGTCCCTAGGACTGACTGACCTTCTGTACCAGAAGCACCAGACCCACAGCCAATACCAGCAGGATAAAGCTGTTATACAGACTCACACTTGCTTCCTGGGGAAAGGCACATAAAGGGGTTGCTCAATGCCCTATCTTTCTCAAAGGGTTCCATGCACCTTGTAGCTCTTTCCTTAACCAGTGTCAGAGAGGGCCTGGGGGTCCATCCAGGGTCTTAAAGCAAAACCCTGGCAGTCTCACAAGTGTTGGGAGAGAGTATGGAAATAACTTGCAGTCCAGCCAGATTTCTCCCAGGCTTCATGCTAGTCAGGGGATATTGAGCCCAAGCAGATTAATATGGGGTAAAAATATAAACAGTTCAATGGGGATTTATGCTTTGGCATGATGAGAGCTGGAATTGCCAAATCACAGAGATCTCAGTCCCACAATCCAAACTGGTCATTCCTTTCATTTTTAAGAAGGTCCATTTCTATTTATTCAGAATTCAGTTCTCTTCTCCCAGAGAAGAGGGTACAGACGGGTGTTACCAGGCCTGCTGGAAGCCTATTACATGTTGGCTCTCTCCCTCTGCAACCGGGAGTTGTAGGCTCGGGAGACTGTGTTCCAGGCATCCATATACCGGTCCATGCACATGGCGATGCATTTCTGAAATATAACAATGATACTTAGCTCTTGCACTGCCCTTTTCACCCACAAATGCAAAGACACTTTAGAGAGAGAAATGAACAAATACAGATGCAAATCAAGCAAGCAACTTCCCCTGATCACCAGAGAACTGGGTTTTCCATCTCCCATGGAAAAATGGAGTAAGCCACGGATTTTGCTTTTTACCAGAGGCAAGAACAGATTTCTCATTTTACCCAAGAAACCCACAGATTATGCCGTTCTGCAAGGAGCTGGGAGGGAGAGGGAGGAAGGCGGAAAGACAGGGGGCGCCATGCGCACAGACATGCACGCGGCCCCAGGCAGCCTGAAAGTAGCTCCCGCAGGTAAGTGGGGGAGGAAAGGGGGACTGAAGCCCCTGTAGGGAGGAAGCTGGGCAGGGCTGGTGCTGCTGCCCAGCCAGGTGGGGCTTGGGGAGAAGCGGAGGGGAGGTTTTCTGCACGGCTACTCCACTCCCTGCTGCGCAGTCGCAAAGGGGGAACAGCGTAGCAGGGAATAGCAGGCCCCCTGCTTGCCACTGTTTCCTGCCACCCTGCCTCCCCCCCCAGCCTGATCCAGCTCAGCAGCGAACCAAGGAGCCACGCAGAAATCTTCCTCACTGCTTCTTGCTCGCCCGCTGCTCCGCTGACATGCCTCCTGCACGTGGGGCTACAGCAAGGGCAGTGGTGCGGGGCTGCACCCCCCAAAGCACCAGCCAGCACTGGAGGCACATTGCTTGGAAGGGGGGGAGGGGCAGCCCTGTCCTGCTCCTGGCTGGGGCCCTGCAGCCGCACACCGCAGCCCCGGGCCCCAAGCCCCACCCAGATGGGCAGCAGCCTCAGCCCGTGCCTGCCCAGGGACAGATCTGGGAGGAGCGCAGGCCCCCTGCCCCCTGGAAGCGCATGCAGCAGCAGGGAGCCCCCCACCTGAGCCCATGGTGGGGGGCAGCGGGGGCAGGGGGCTGTAGACCCCAGTCTGTAGCCCTGGCAGCTGGGGTCCCCTCTGGCAGGGCTGGGGGAGCAGGAGCTGTGGGTGGGGAGTGAGGGGCACCAGCAGGATACAGGAAGGGCTGTAGGGGGGGGCTTTAATTTTAATCATGGATTTTGGGGGTTTTAGCAGAGAATTTGATTTTTTTTTTAAATCAGGAGAAACCAGGATCCCTGCTGATCACCCAGCAGATGAGAAGGACAAGGAGTAGCAGGTCCATCCCACCCTGCAACGGCCAACCCAAGGTGTCAGCAACAGAGCTGTACGTGCTGGGACACCACAGGCAGGGGCTCAGGGCACGAGGCCTGGGACCAGACTCTCGACTCCCCGTGACCTCAGGCAAGTAGTATTTGGCCTGGCCTGCATCGGCCCACCTCCTGAGGGAAGCAGCTCCCTTTGGGACAGTCCTCAGGGAGGAGCTGTAAAGCAGATAACACCCCCGCCCGCGCAGACAATCCGGCAAGGCCCAGCCCCGGCCCACGCGGCGATGAACTGCTGGAGCGCCAGCCACCCTGAGAGGCCGGGCAGCAGCTCAGGTGCCGGGCACGTCCTGGAGGCCGCACAGGCCTCTCCCCAGCTCGGGCCGTCCGGGCGCCGGTGGGCAGGGCCGCGGGAAGCAGGGACCCGCGGGCGGCACCAGCTCACCTGCTCCGAGTTGTCCAGAGAGCTGCCCGGCTTCCCGATGCACTTGCGGAAACACTTGTCCGTCATCCGCTGCGGAGAGCACAGGTCAGCACGAGCGCGGCGCGGCCACG